AATTCTGAGAAAAGGCCAAAATTTTGAGATTAAACTCAGAAGTCTGACTTTTTCTTAATTCTAAGTAAAAATGGCAGAAATCTGACATTTTTCTCATAATTCTGAGATTAMACTCAGACTTATTGTCTTGCTTTAATTTTATTTGCTGTAGTTTTATTTGTAACGGTGCGATCAATAAATACGAAACAAAAGATTAAAGTCAGACTTCTGCCTTTTGTCTAATTCTGAGATTAAAGTCAGAATTTTATTTTATTTTTTTCCCATCGTCCCTTATCCTCTTTCGTACACATCCAGAATTAATTTATTTTACAATAATTAGTTCAACCCTACATTAAATTTCATGCATTTAAAAGTGGCAGTGGATATGCATTGCGGTGATGGTGAAAACTTTTTATTTTTGGACATTTTAATGCAAAACCATCATGCAGGCTGAAGAGTTTACAGACTTTATACRCTAAAGTTTTCTGAGCTCTGGACTCTGACTCATGAGGACCCCTGCAGACAGATAAAAAGGTGACAAATCCTAACTTTGATGGATTGTTTTTACAAGAACAACAATCTACCTGAAGAAACCCCCCACTCAAGATTTGTATCTGCCATTTATTTGTTGGACATAAACCTTCCAGCCCTTAACAGCGCCATTCTTTTCCTGTGTAACAACACAACATATTTGGATAACTTATAGACCCCCAAAGACCCATACTGTACTGTAGCTCAAGCATGCTGTGACATATGACACCCATATGATGATACAGTAGTGTTTAACGCAGTCGAGCGTCGTGATTTATGGGGTTCTCTGTCTGTGGACAGGTAATTATGGTGACCGGCGATCACCCAATCACAGCCAAGGCCATCGCTAAAGGTGTGGGCATCATCTCTGAGGGCAACGAGACGGTTGAGGATATCGCTGAGAGACTGAACATCCCTCTGAGCCAAGTTAACCCCAGGTGTGTGTACATGTGTGTGTGTGTGTCTGTGCAGGTTTTGGCTGTGTGCCCAAGCATCCAAGGGTATCTCACTGTGAGATTGTTCGAGTGGTTCAGGATGTGTGCAGCCATGTGTGTGCAAGACGGGCACACAAGCAAGGTTACGTGTTTAAAGCAAGAGCTGGGAAATGTATCGATTCGAGACAGAGAAGCTCAAACAAAAGGTGCTAACAAGCTAATGGACAGGAAATACAGATAAACATCTGGCTCTGTTGTATTTGAAGTGACCAAAATTTAAAACCTCTGGGAAAAAAATAGAGGATGTTTCTGATGTGGTGACATTGGTAAAACAATAATAAAATACTGAAGGAGCTTTTTGTTCTGCCAGGAAATAATTATTACACATGACCTTGAGTCTTATTATAATTTAGTTGAAAAAATACTGGATAACAGCATCTTTTCAGCATAATTGTAACAATAGATTAAAAAAGTGGTCGCACAATTGTCATTATGTCCTTTATATTCCTTTTATTAACATTGTTGATGTTCTTTAACCAGCCATTATCTGGAAGTTTCTGCTGCTGGTAATTTGTAGTTTGGAAGAAATTAGAAAAGCATTGATCGTGCAACTTTAAAGATGTTGACACTAGAAATGCAATATAGTGTTATTAAAAACTATATTTTTATTGGTACGAGGACTGAATTTAAGACGATTGAGCAACCAACGGTTGCTACATCCTTGTAGTGGGAGGAGTTTTATTTTATTCAAAAAAGTTTGTGTTTAATAAAGTAGTTGAGCAGCCTAGACATCCTGGTCGCTAGCCTCTCCAATGTTAA